ACCCCCTCAATCTCACCTTCCTGTTTTGTCTTACATTTTCCTTTCCCCTTCTGACTTCTGTTTCTCTGCTGCAAAACTGTACTGAATATCAATGCACAACTGCAGCGTATCAAGAAGTCTCAGTGGCATAGCTAAGAGAGGGCACCTAAGGCAACAGCCCCAGACACTGCCTTTGTTGGGGAGCACAAAAATAGGTGTAGGGGCTGACTGCTGCTGCTGCAATTGGTTTGCTGCTATCTAGATTTTTGTCCCTTTTTCTGATAGGTTACTCAGAAGGCCAAAGAGTGCAAGATGCCACACTCTGCCTTCTCTATATTGAAAACTCTTTAATTTTATCACTGAAGTCAAATGTGCTTGTAGGTGACTGCCACTTGTCATTTTCTGGGCCACATGTAAAGCTGGGTAGGGGATACAGAAATGGGTGTTTAATTGATGGAAGGCTTGACCTGCATAGACTAAAACTTAGGCAGTTGATGAAATCCTGGTTCCTCTAAAGTTTGTTATAAAATGCTTTGACTTTATTGTGGTTTAGACTGCATCCAGTGTGTTTACTTTATTTAAACTAGTGTTTTTATCACTAAAAAAACATGGAGGCTTATTTTGATCTAAAAAAAGTAATTTGATTCTGCATCATCTGCTGTAACCAAATTAGGACTGCTGTTTCTAGTACACTTCAGGATACACTATTAAAAAAAAAAAAAGGAAATCATAGTGAAATAGATTTCACTATATTTTTTCTTGAAGTTTTTGGCAAACCAAATGCTTGCATTTCTTTTTTAAGTATCTCCCTAAATATAAAGATCCAGTTTTCACACTTGAAAAGGAGAATGTCAGGGGACAAAAAGCAGGGACATCATTTGCAGAAAATGAATTGTTATAGATAAATGTAGGTGAGAAGTAGCAAAGGCTCTTAAAAAATAACTAATGGGAAAAATATGACCCTAACAAAAGCTGCAACCCTCCCTACTGCAGTGGTTCTCTCAGGAATGAGTAAAATGCCTGCAACTTTTTAGCTAAGAGTTCCAGGAGCTTGCGTCACAAGTAATATTTACATAAATCAGCAGCTTGACACCCAAAATCAGAAATGCCCATCTTGCTGTAGTCATCTAACCCCTACACAAAGCAGCTGGACCCGATGATCTGCAAGATCCCTTCTAGCCCCTAATAGCTATCAAACTATGAAACTGTGAAAAAATTCCTGCTGCATATCAAACATCAAAAAGTTTCTTCTCCACTGCTTATTCTCATGCTATCAGGAGAAAAGCTATTCCTGCAGCTTCTTTATTATATTCATCCATACTATTTTAAAATATATCTCCATTGGCAGGAAAAAACAGATTTAGTTACCAGCATTTTTTGACCTGTGCAAAATTGTGACTGCATTACAGCAAAAACATCTCATACCTGTTGTTCCATAAAGCCATTCCACAAAGGCTCACAGCAATCATCATTTGAAAAAGAAATGAAGACTGGGAAATCACTTAAATGCAAGAGCTTCTCCACCCCCAAGAACAGTATATTTAAGTATTACTAAGCAAGATGAAAGCATAAGCAATTAGTTGCATAGATCACCACTCTGTTCTTCTTGGGCACCTCCAGACCACCCATCCTCCCCTACCCCACCTGGGGCAACTTGCCATGCACCAGAGCTCACGGGCAGGGGCACTCCCCAGGAACAAGTAGAAGCAGCACATATTGTGCCACTGCTGTTTGTCCCCTGGGAAACGCACATACGTGCTTGTCTGAATATGCCCCTTGATTTCAAACTGAAATATTTTCACCAGCACTCTTATTAGGACACTTTAAACAATAAGAACTTGCAAGAATTTCAGATTAGAAGCACCAAGTAATAAAGCTTAAAATTCCTTAACACAAGTAGTGAAAAAACTGATCTTTATTTTCATCTATACAAACTTCTATTCTCGCATTTCTCCATCTTCTTCCTCTTCTTCAACCCCTCTGATGTATAAGACATTATTGCATCTGGAAATAAAACCAGAAATTCCCTTAAAATTAAGTCTACTGTTGCTCTTTCTGTGTATCACACAAATTTACCACTCCCAAACTGGATCTGAGCCCACCACTTAGAGGGAAGCAGATTTAGGCTTTGCATTTGTTTTCTCTAAGAGCCAATTTGTAACTCTATCATAAACACAAGATTCCCTATACATTAGGTCAGTCAACCTTTTTAGGCTCAAGGTACCTGTTGGAAGATGCCAGCTCTTAGTTTTCCCTCCTTTTTTGACCATGGTTATAAAGAAGTCTGAAAGACCATAACACATCAGAAAGGAATCCACAGTGCTGAAAATCTGAAATCTCTGTGTTTATCTTGTGAATTATTTTTGCAAGCCTAAAAGTACTAATACTGCAACACCCTTGAAAAGATCAAGGCACACCATGGCTGAAAATCATTGCATTAGATCAGTTCATTTTTAGGCCCACAGTTTTGTGAACATTATGCTGAGGTCAAGCAGGAATGTTCTAGGGAGCAGGACCTTAGTACACATGCACCACAACCTGCAATTTAGGTATTAGCACTGGTATCCAATCAGCACCAAGAAAGCCAAACCACTTGATTATACAGAAGGAAGCCACAAGTCATGTGGGTGTGCGTGTAGCCCAATACCCCTTTTTATCTTAAGACACAGCACTAGAGGGGCTGTTATGATCTTGAGTGCTAGGGCTATACAGAAGCAGAGAGGTCCTTAGCCTAAAATCAGGCAGGAGACAGGGCAGATCTGCCCCTTACAGACCAACTCAAAGCAGGCATGTGGCCAGTTCAGCAGCTTGCTGCTCACAAAAGCTTGTGCTGTGCCTCTCCTGTGGACAAGGTCTGCAAAGTGGGAGTTGAGCCTCCTCTGCCTTCTGTCTTGTGGCAGAAGGAGCCATGAGCCAGCCCCCACAGGCACAGGCCAGGGTTGGGGCTTCGAGGGAGCACTGAACAGGGGGCCCTGCCTTGAGCAAGGGTCCAGGGCATCAACTCCAACAAGGTCCCTCCCAGCCCTACAATTCCTATGATCCTCCAACAGGGGGGGCCCAACCTTTTCATCATGCAGGCTGGATGGACGGTGCCAGGTCCCTCCAATGGGCCCAATCCAGCCGTGGGGGGTTGCATAGCTTGACTGATTTGCCCATCCAGGGAGGAACAGAGCAGCCCTGACCCAGACGCATGGGAAAAGGGGAGAGAGGTAGCTCTGGATGAGCGGTGCAGTGACTCCTATACACACGTGTGCAGCCTCACGTCAGCAAACTTAATTAATCAAGTCTGCTGGAGCACAGAAATTGATGTGCTTCGGTAGCCTCCCATGTCATGTGTATCAGTGTCCCCATGCTGAAAACATGGTGGCGGGGTGCTTTGAAATAAGTCACGTTTGATGAACTTTAGTTCAAAGTGCCCTGCTACCATTTTTTCTGCGAAGGTTGCTGTGCACCCCCAGATGTGCAACATGCTAGTGCTTTTCATTAAGATGGCTCAGCAATTGAAGTACCTGTACCACATCCCACAGCACATGTAAAAATGCCCTAGATGTGTATGTGCACATATGCAGGGGAAGAGAGCAGCCAGCCCCAAACCAGACACCTGCAGGGGGTCAGGCTGAAGCAGCCTGGATCCAGACACTTGGGGGGAGCAAACAGAGCAGCCCCCAATCCGGATGTGCAGGGGTAGGCCCAGCCCTGCCCACCCTTGGCTGCAACACACTGGCCAAGACTGGCACCCATGTGCATCACTTCTGCTCTGGGCAGCCAACAGGCTCCCTGGGGCTGTAACCTCCCTCCAGAGCAGGAAACCTGACGGCACCAGCACCCGCCGAGTTACCTGATGAGGACCTCGCCCAGGTGGCCCGACAAGGCGCCGTCAATGTACTCCTCCGTGTTCGCCAGCTGGGAACACACGGACACACACACACGTGTTAGAGCCACCTCAGAGTCCCCCTCCTCCCCTCAACCCATGCGGCCGCGGGGCCCGGCCTGACCTGCATGTTCATGTAGCCATCGACAGAGACGAGGTAGCCCTTATACTCCATGCCCCACTTCAGCTTCACCATCACGGGCTTCCCCGTCAGCCCGTTCAGGAAGGGCTTGGGGTTCAGCGGCAGGCTCTGTGGGCGACAGCGGCAGTCAGCGCAGGCTCGCTG